TTACAACTAATCTAACAATCAAATATCAATATATATCCACAGATAAGAGGAGACAAAAAAAAATTGAAGGAGGTCTTTATGTGCTCCATTTCCTCATTTCAACTCCTCCTGAGGACTTGCATCAGGTTGATCACAAAGGAAAACACTACTCTGTTTTTGAGCATGAACCGTGTAGCTCTGCTCACTGAGCAGGGAGAGAGAGGTAGAGAGAGAGAGAGAGAGAGAGAATGCATCACAAGCTACAATGAAAGCTTTATTTAACCATCAAAGTGTTACGCAGCTAGATCAAAGCGGCGCGAGGCCTCTCGATCTCCGCTCTCTCACTTTGCCACAAAGACAGGTATGATTGAAGTCCTTTCTCTCTGTCTCTCTCTTGCTACTTGTCCCATTTTGAACGATGCTGGTTACACGTTCATGGAGTTCACCTGATGTATTTATAGTGCAATCACATCTTCTGCTACTGCACAAAACTCTCCTACTCAGCCGAACTGTTTAATGTAGTACACTGTTAAAGGAAAGTGCTTCAAAATAGCCTATATAACCAGTCCCCTTTTCTGCAAGTGTTTACAGCCTCAAAAGGCTTTTGAATTAGATTTCTGTTGGGCTTTTGAGATTTGTGCTGATGCACTCAAATGGTGAAATTGCTCAAATTTGTGTTTTTGATAAAATCTTTTTATGGCATCAGCTCTTTAAAAAGGTGTTTTTGGAAAGCAACCAGGACTTACTTTCTTTAAAAGCTGTTTGCAGTTATTCAAATCTTTTTGATATTTTCTTCAGCGTCCCTATATTAATAGCTTGTCGGTGTAAACACAGACTCACTGTGAATGCAAAGCGTTTGATAATGTGATTAATTGGTATTACCCATAAATTATAAATGAGCAATGCATTAATAGTGAAAAATTACAAGCCAAGTTCACATCAGTTTCTAGAAGTATGACACGGCCTTCTTCATTGTGGTCCCTTGTTAAAAGTGGTCGATTAAAAGAAAATCCATACTCTGTCCTAATGTAAGAGTCATAAGAAAGAAGACTTCAAGTCAGTTGCAGAGGCACTTTCAAAGGTATTTTATGGATTATACCACAGCTGATTTCCACAGAGATCTAAGTTTCATATATTTTTATTAATCACCCAAGAATATGCTCAAATGTTTAGGAGAATTATTAGGAATGAAAAATTATAGTCATTTGGTCATTTTAAACATCCTACACAATCTTACTTGTTGTCCATTTAGGTCAAAATGCAAAGAGCAAAGTCTTGTTTTACTTTGTGTTGTGTTTTTACTATAACCTATATAATCACTATAAAGGTTCATTGCTCTGATTTTACAAAATTTCTGCATAATTCACTCATTAGGATATAAAGTCATTCAGAGAGGTCTGATGTGAAGTATGCCATTCTAGAGAAATGTATCGAGTCAGAATAATTCACACTGGTGGTGATAGGAACCAGACGTCTGAATAGCTTAATGCCTCTAAAAGATTCCTCACAAAAGGTTATTACATGAAATGTATATGAATATGCAGTCTGATGTCTGTCATTTACATCAGTTTTGAGAGGATTTAGATAGTAAATAATAAATAAAATTGCTATAATTATGTTGTAGACATTTTGACACCTGGTTACTATCACCACCACTATAAAGAAATCGGGGTCAGTAAATTTGTCTTCAATTAAACACTTCAAACATTCACATTTCAAATATCTTTGTTTACATCTTGACAACTGAAGTATACAGAAAGTTTGAAAAATTGGTGGAATTCCTCTATAACAATTTACAATACAATAATAGCTCATACAATGTGGATAAATATGAAAACTATTTGTTAAAAGGTATTTTTAGATGTTTTCAGTATATCAATAATTCTGTGAACAAGAAAGTTATTAAATGACAAAAAATTTATTGTAATTATCTGTTTACTTTAATTGTTTTGTCAGCTTATCTGCCGTGAGATTTGATTTACATTCTGGATATTCGTTCTACTATATTATATTCTGGACACATTTAAAATGTCTTAATTTTTTTTTTACAGCTTGCTAGTGTCCTAGTAATTGTGTGAATCCTGTAAAGTTGCACCAAAGAAACATGCATTTATCTGCAACCAAACTGGTGTATGTAATGTAAAACATATTACAAAAAAGTTGGGACGATGCATACAAATGTAAATAAAAACAAAATGCAATGATGTGCAAATCGTTTAAATTGAAAATAGTACAAAGACAACATATCAAATGTTAAACTGAGAAATTGTATTATTTTTTGAAAAAATATTTGCCCATTTTGAATTTGATGCCAACAACATGTTCCAAAAAAGTTGGGACAGGGGCAACAAAAAACCTGGTAAAGTTATGTAATGGTAAAGAAAATGTCTGTTAGTTGATTGGCAACAGGTCAGTAACATGATTGGGTATAAAAAGAGCATCTCAGAGAGGCGGAGTCTTTCAGAAGTAAAGATGAGTTCATCACTCTGAAAGACTGCATGAGCAAATAGCGTTTCTCAACGTAAAATAGCAAAGAACTTTTGCTTTTCATCATCTATGGTACACAGTGACATCAAAAGATTCAGAGAATCTGGAGAAATCTCTGTATGTAAGGGACAAGGCCAAAAACCAGTATTTACTGGCTATGATCTTTGGGGCCTCAGGTGGCACTGCATTAAAAACATACATGATTCTGTAATGGAAATCACTGCATGGGCTCAGAAACACTCCTGTAGGGGTACATTAGTGCATGTGGCATGGTTGACATGCACATCTGTGAAGGCACCATTAATGCTGAACGATATATACATGTTTTGGCAACATTTGGCCATCCAGATGACGTCTTTTTCAGGAAAGGCCTTGATTATTTCAGCAAGACAATGACAAACCACATTCTGCAAGTATTACAGCAGCATTGCTCCGTATTAAAAGAGTCCTGGTGCTAAACTGACATGCCTGCAGTCCAGACCTGTCACCACTGATAACATTTGGCGCATTATGACATGAAAAAAACGACAAAGGAGACTCTGAACTGTTGAGCAGCTGAAATCCTATATCAAATAAGAATGGGAAAACAACTAAAGCAATTGGTTTCCTCAGTTCCCAAACGCTTACAGAGTGTTGTTAAAAGAAGAGGTGATGAAACACAGTGGTAAACATGCCCCCATCCCAACTTTTTTGGAACGTGTTGTTGGGATCAAATTCAAAATGGGCATATATTTAAAAAAAAACTGAAAAAAAACAATAAAATTTCTCTGTTTCATCTTTTGATATGTTGTCTTTGTAGTATTTTTCTTTAAAAATATAGTTTACATGATTTGCACATCATTGCATTCTATTTTTATTTACATTCTGCCCAGCGTCCCAACTTTTTTGGAAATGTGGTTGTAGAATACATATTAGATTTAATATGTAACCTTCATTGCATGAAACATTACTTAAAAAGATTTAAGCGTCAGAAAAGTACTGCAGGCTGTGAAATGGGCCGTTTTGTATCAGCCAGCTTTAAATAATGGAGGCTTTCTTTAAATAATGGAGACAGTCTTGCTGCTAGGTGCTGTGCGCTGTGTTATGACTAAATAGGCCACATATAGAAACATTTTCCCACTGTAAATAAAGCTCTGTTGTTGCAGTTATTATGATGAATTTAGAGAGGGAGACCTGCCCGTGTCTGTGTCCCACTGACCAATCGCTTCTGTAGCGCAGGCTAATGGCCACTCCATGTTTAGGCCGCCTCGCTAATGCTCCGTTGGGATAATTAAGTGTGCTCCCTGCCTTTATTCAATTCGGAGGCATTAAACCAAATTCAAAGCGCTTCACTCCCACTTTGCCGTAAGCAAATGGTGGAGAACAGAGAGAGAGGATGAAGAGGGGTTGAAAACGAAGGCCCAAAAAAGAAAACAAACAACTACCGATGAAGAGCTAACATTCAATTAGCCAGGGCTTGATGGGTATTTACAGCTAGTGTTGGTTTGAACTTTTTCACCTGGGAGCACTTTCTCTTTTTCTTTAACGCACACACATACACAGCCACTCTGTCACTCTCACTCTCTTTCTGTCTCTCTCTCTCATTCTCTTTCTCCTCCTCTCTGCCTTCTAAGGTTAGCACCCATATAGTTACTGCTAGCAATCCAGCCTTTTTCTTCAGCTGTAATGATAATAATTTAGAAGCTGAGAGGGGGGAAATTGCACCTTATTGCTTAGCATGTAAGACTGACTCTCGCATTCTCCCTCTCACACACAGTAAAATGCATTGATGGATTGGGACGTAATAGTCTAAAGGTAGAGATTCAACTGCACTGATTTTGGAAAGTCACAATCAATTACAGCCACCAGTAATTACGTACAATAAAGTGACTCAATTAGAACTGTTATCCTAGCTTTAATCAGCTCTCTTAGAGGTTACATGCTAACATTATTATCTAATCATTGATTGATTCCTTACAGGTGGTCTGTGTGTTTATGTGATCTTTATCACATAAAGCACTGGGGAAAAAAAAGAGTAATATTGTGTTATTTACTTCTTTTATTAAGCTTATATGCACTTAAGTACTTTGTCTTTGACTTCTGTCATAAGTTTTTATGCAGTTTTTATTTTTGTAAAGTGCTTTAAATTGGCCTTGTATATTAAATGTGCTATATAAATAAACTTGCCTTATCTGTGCTTTAGAGATTTTATGATCCACTTTACATTTCCTAACACACAAACTTTCCAGTCTGTTCTGTCTCTTTAAAGTGGTCATGTTTATAAGTAAACGTAAACATGTACAATTAATCCACATTCTGTTCTGTCTGTGTTTACTAACACCTGAAAAACAGACCACAACCGACAGGTGCCAGCTACCTAATAAATTACAACAGCCGCTCACAACCTCAGTGTTTTGTTTACTTCCCAATTCAACCATGTGAATGTGCCTCATATGAACAAACTCCTCTTTAGAGTAAACTACTGCACAGCTTGTGCCTGAAAGCAGCAATAAAGCACTCGTACTCACTCACAGACACACTTTTTGCAACCTCACCTGTGTGACACTGTCTCTCATGGTGGGTGAGCGCTGTTTGCGGGTGGTGGTGGTGGCCATAGTGGTGGTGGTCTCCATGATGGTGGTGGACATATCTGCCAGCGGGGTTGTGGAGGTGGTGTCTGTGGTCAGGACAGAGGGGACGTCCCCTACCAGCCGCAGGTTCCCCTGCACCTGCACATTGGGGTCGCCCTCAGCCGCCAGCTTCAGGACCTGCAGCCCATTATAGTACAGGCCCGAAATCTGACCCTGAAAATTACGGCCTTTCTCACCACCTCCAATCTTTATAAACGCCTGACTGTTAAAGATTGTCAACTGCCGACCTGCAGAGAGAGAGGCAGAGAGCAAGAGAGAGAGAGAGAGAGAGAGAGAGGGAGGAGGGGATAGGGGGAGAAAAGGCAAGCAGAGAGAGGGAGATGGAGAAAGTAAGAGAGAGGGAAAGGGGGGGTTATAAGAAATTGTGGGACAGAAAAGAAGGAAGTGGTAGAAGAGAGACAGGATGAAAAGAGGAAAGAGTAAGAGAGGGTAAAAGAAAGACAGAATAATGAGGGAAGGGAAAAAAGAGCATCAGTCTCTGACCGTTGGTATTCTGCAGAGCACACAGACACAGAATGAATCAGGCCATTCAGAGAGGGAAGCAGACTCAAATCTCTCCAATAGTCCTGGAAACACTTTAGGAGATCCGATCACTGTGAACACCTACAAGCCTAAAGGAGCTGCTGTGACTCATTTCAACAGTAGCAATTTTCTCAGGTAATGACAGAATTTTACTGGTAATGATATGTTCAACTTACACTGAATTGCCAGTTTATTAAGTACATGAACCTGAGAAGCCTGGTGTCAGAAATAGTCACTTTCTGCATTTGGCCTAAGGGGTTAGGTGGACCTACCTTGACCATTTTATCATACATACCTACCATGCAGGTGCACCTTGTACGTACAATTTGAGACCACAGAGGCTGTTGGCAGGATATTTTTGAGTGGTAGTCCACTCTCAACCTAGCAGTGACACTGAAGTATGTGTGTAAAAACCCCAGAAACACTGCTGTGTCTGACGCTGCATTACACACACTACCATGTCAGTGTCTCTGCTGTGGTGAGAATGATCCAGCACCTAAACAATATCTGGTCAGCAGTGATTCTGTGGTGGTCCCCTTTGATGAATGTAGCAGAGGGAGGTTAATAAATTGTGCCACAACAGATGGGCTACAGTGTGTAACTGTAAACCTACAAAGTGCACTTGCGTGGTAGATGTTTCTGATAAAATGGCGAAGAGTGTAGATCCAAGGTAGGTCTCTTAATAAACTAGCAATTCAGTGTAAATTATTCTTATTATTATTATTATTATTATCATTATTATTATTACCTGAGAAAATTTCCAATTTCCTCACTAGTCAGTTCACATACAGTGTAGGGTACCTAATACACTGTAAAAACAATGGAAACTATATACACGGCTTTCCTGTTAAGGTCCCTCCTTTGATAAGTAACTTCCAGAACACAGCTAACGTTCAAGCCGTTGAGTGGCCCACTATTGTATCACTCCTCCAGCATGTTACCAGGAAGGAAGGAGATTTGTTCCTGCTCCCTCTGTCTCCTTTGCAAATATCAGTGCTTTATTTCTGCATTCCACACAGGCCAGTCTGAAAGGAGCGCTAACGCTAACATACTGACCTCATAACAGAGGCAATGACTTCTGACCTGGTAATGTAAGCCCCCCACAGTGTAAGAGATGGACAGAACAGTAGGGGGATGGAGAAAGAGAAGAAGGGTTTCAGAGGTGCTTGAGTGGTTGAAGAATAGAGGGGAGACAGAGAACTTAAGTAAGAGAGAGAGAGAATGTGTGACTGCATATGTATCGTTGCTGTCTGAACAAAAACATAATTTCTCCAAAGGTAAAGGTTCATTTACTAGAGAAGGAGAAACACACTTAACTTAGAATGGATGTTAGTGGAGAAACAATGTATCCAAAAAAAATAGTGAGGAATTTCTAGTGCTGTTTAAGGTATCATGACATTATGACATGCATTATGTATGTTGTGACCAAAAAAGATAAATGTGACTACAATTATGTACAAAATACTCTGAATACGTTCTGCTGTTTTGGTATAAAACGAGCCTAATGTATCTGACCAATGAGACAGAGGGGTTTGGTGGGAAATGCTCCGTTCTAGAGAAACTTTGCAAGTCAGAATTCACAGTGGTGGTGATAGGAACCAGACGTCTGAAGAGTCTGATGCCTCTGAAAGCTCCCTTACAGAAATGTATTTTTCATGGTTACAAATATGTTACCTGATATCTAAAACAAAATAGTATTATGATTTTTTGATGTTTTGAGATAAGGTTTTGGCCTAAAACGTGTTTTATTAAAGCCATTTATGGTGGAGGGCTACATGCAGAGTTTTGTACGGCAAACAAGTGAAAGAGTCGGAAGGTTTCTCTACAATAAACCATTTCACTTTTTTACATCTCAACCACTGAATTATGTAGACATTTTGAAGCAAATTGGTAGAATTCCCCTTCAAGCTAGCTGACAACTTGGACCAAAATACATTTAAATAACACACAAGGTCCAGCTAAATATTAATGAAATGTGTTAAAGTCTTCAAATTGAACGTAAGAACTGAACTGATTACATCTAAATACAGAACAGTTAAGTGTTTTCACTATTTTATTTTCCATTCCACAGTCTTTCTCCATAAAACTACACTGGACTGAAAGCTTAAGAGTTTTCTGTTGAGTTTATTTCTTTTTTACTTTACAAAATATTTGGTGGGTCATGAGACACTATCTGTACAGGAGCACAGGTGGATCCTGGCATGAAAGAATTCGGAAAGGCCTGCTGTACAGAACGCACTTTTATGGATAAATGAATTTGAGGGAAACAATATGGGACTTTCGTAGACACGGATACAGGGAGACCGTAATTGATATTTGTGCATGTGCTTTCTGTTCTTATGAATGGTCCTGAGTGCTAATTTGCTTCCCCTGTGGTCATGCTTGGATAAAATGCTCAGTGTGGCTCCACAGTTTGATCCTAATGCTACAAAAAGAGTGGAAAACACACCAGTCATCTATCCCTTGATTCAATTAATGCTGACCGAGCCTATTATTTACTTAATGGCCTTGTTTATGAGTATCACACTACATTGATTTTAGTCTGCGTGTGTCTATGTGTGCAGTACCACATTGATTTCAGTCCTCCTGAGTGTGTATGAGTGAGTGACGGAGTATGCTAAACTGCTCCATTACCTTGCGTCACTAGCATTAATAGATCATGCCATCTGTTTGAAACCCTGGAGGACTGCTGATGAGCGTGAGCCATAATGATGCCAGTGTGTATGACTTATGAAGCGGATGTGTGTATCAGCTAATTCCTCAGTGGAGTAAACAGTTCAGTGAAAGGACACTAAAGTATCTCAGAGTTAAAGCCCTAACTGAGCTGGATTAGTTTTATCTGGGGAGGTGCAATAATTTAAGTGATTACTAATGAGCAGAGGTAGAAAGTAACCAGTTACAGCTAGTCTTGTGACAGTACATGACTAACTCTGTTACACGACTCTTCTGGGAATAGTATAATCACAGACAAAGTGCTTTACAGCCAGGTGATAAAAGCATAAGAGCAACTACTGAGAAGAAACTATTGGGTATTAATTTAAAATTATATAAAACAATGACAGATCAAATTAAAAAGGAAAATACCAAAGAACTAGAATCTCAGTTAAATGTCACATTAATGAGATACGTTTTCAAATGTTTCTTAAAAGTGTGCACTGTCTAATAAAAGGTGAAACTAAGTGATTTTAATCCAAACATGCAGTATGTGTAGTTTCTACAGTCTGACACTAATAATTGTGGAAGGATCTAATCCAGTATGAATCTGCAGCGTGTGTACTTTTTACAGTCTGACAGTAATAAATGTGGAGGGATTTCAATCCAGTATGAATCTGCAGCGTGTGTACTTTTCACAGTCTGACAGTAATAAATGTAGAGGGATTTTAATCCAGTATGAATCTGTAGTGTGTGTAGCCTTTTACAGCCTGACAGTAATAATTACAGAGTCAGTGGTTTTCTGGAATTAGCTGAACTCCAGTAACGGAAAAACAAAACCTGCTAAAAGGCACAGCCATGCGCTGTGTTGTTATTGTTAATGAGGGTGTCGTGTGACTTAATGCTGATGTGAACTGTTTGTCCCTACCTGTGGGAATCTGGAGACATTACACAGCTATCCTGTACCAACTGTTACAATTACAATACAGAACCTACTCTGGTAAAACTAATCCTATTCCGGTAGTGCTTTTGTCTAATTTAGGAGCAGTTTTGATTATATGAAAGTGTATGAATTGTAGTGAGGCAGGAATGATCACAATGCAAAGCTTGCCTAATAAGATTTCTCCTCAAATTAGCTCCTGAATGACTGATATAGACAAAGGAGAACACACAGACACACACCTTAATGGGTCTCCCACACTGGTCTCTCTGAATATCTGTATTATTTTTTCCACAGACTACATTCAAGTGGATATATATGTTTAAACACACACTGTTCAATTTGCTCAATTCTGTTTTGTAACACTTTGACTTTTTAATAAAAGCACTGAGCGGTTTTTCACAAGTGCAATGTGTGATGGTGGAACCAAGAGCACTTCGCCATCATTAAGAGTGACAAGTGGCAATTTCTACCAAAAAAAAGTGAAGCGCTTCAAGAGCTTGCGGAGGATGTGTGTGTAGTAAAACTCAAGCGAGAACGAGAAGAGGTGTCAGTGGGCAATTAAATCAAGTCTTCAAAGAGAAGGAAGAGCAGGATGGGAGGTAGGCGACGTGCATATTCGAGAACATTTCAAAGAAGAGAAATAAGATAGCAAGAAATATAAATAAGAAATTGCATATTTTTTCTAATTATTTCTGCTTCAAAGAACAAATTCTACCTTTCGAAGCTTAATCATTACAGTACACACTAGCTGAGAGGACACTAATGGCTGTGCATGCTGATAAACCCATTGTTTTGAGCTGCCTGCTCAACTGAGAAGTGACAGATGAGTACAGACACAACTTAGGCCACGTGGTCATCATACACACACACTGTTTATATAGATGAAGTGAGGTGTGTGTGTGTGTGTGTATGTGAAACTGAACTCATTAAAGGAGCAGGAAGCTTAACATCAAAACTAACTTAAATCCTCCAAAACTCGTTCTCCTTCTACTCTCTTTCTTTCTACTTACTTTATTTGAATCTCTGTTTCTCTGTCTCTCTCTCCTTCTCCTCTCTATCTTTTGCTGTCTCACTCTCTTTCCATCTCTCTTTCTACTTCTCTCTCTCCTT